ATCTCCTCTGCTTGACTCTGAGTGCCTAAAAAGCAGTGTCTCATTCCTCTTAGGGCCCAGCCCAAGGGCAGGCCCAGGATGGGTACCAGGAAAGGTTTATAGAATGAATGAAGCTTTAATTGAGCTAAGTTTTGGATAGATGAAGAAGAAATGAAGAAAGTACTGCAGAGGGCAGCGCCTGTGGCTCAATGAGTAGGGCTCTGGGCCCATTTACCAAGGGTGGCAGGTTCGAACCCAGCCCTGGCCAAACTGCAACAATAAAAAAAATAGCCAGGTGTTGTGGCAGGCACCTGTAGTCCCAGCTACTAGGGAGGCCGAGGCAAGAGCATCACCTAAGCCCAAGAGCTGGAGGTTGCTGTGAGCTATGATCCCACAGCATTCTCCTGAGGGCGACAAAGTGAGACTCTGTCTCTAAAAAATAAAAAAGAAAGAAAGTACTGCAGAGACAGCAGCAAGAACAACATGGCTAGAGAGATATGGCATAAATGACAAACTATCTTGAGGGACAACAGCATCTGCTTTGGGAGGGGAGCTGACATTGTGCCAGTACTTTGTTAAACATCTGGCACAGTGTTTGTAAGTCTGGTCCTTACATCAGTCCTGAAAGAAAGTTGTAATTATTCTAGCTTGGCGCCCATAGCACAGTGGTTCCGGCACCAGCCACATACACTGAGGCTGGCAGGTTCTAACCCAGCCCAGGCCAGCTAAACAACAATGACATCTGCAACAAAAAAATAGCTGTAGTCCCAGTTACTTGGGAGGCTGAGGTAAGAGAATCACTTAAGCCCAAGAGTTTGAGTTTGCTATGAGCTGTGACACCATGGCTCTCTACCAATGATGACATAGTGAGACTCTGTCTCAAAAAAAAAAAAGGTGAAATTATTCCCATTTTATAGATGAGGCAACTGAGGCTCAGAGAGGAATGACTTGCCCAGAAAGTGACTGAGCAGGAATACAAATAGACCTGTGTGATTCCCGAGCCTAAAGAAGTAAGTAGATAGAATTTGTAGCCCTAAAAGTGGGCAGAAATTTTGGAGACCCTGCCCAACCAAGCACCATGTTCCCAGCTTTTGCCCCAAACAGAAGGCAATGGAACCTACTTGGGTCATGATTCTACAGTGTGGCTCTGTGTTGACTCAGGTTGGAGTGGGGGCAGTAAATGACAGGTGGTTTTATATCCCGGCCCTTTTCTCTCACCTCATGTGTCCTGACTCCTTCACCCGACTTCATATTCTTCTGGTGCTTCTGCTTTTCTTCCAAGCTATTCTTCTTGAACTATTGGTGAAATAGCTCAAAAGCATAGAGAAAGAAACAGCCAATAATCTAACCTGGCAAAAGAGCTGGACTCAATCCTTCCATTCCTTTCAAGGCCCCTCCCAGAGTATAGCCAATCCTTCCTGCATTGGACCTCTATTTCCCCCTACCCCAGCACCTGCCCCAGGAGGTGCTGTTGAATGATTGTGGAGTGAATGAGTGTGACACGTGTCCAGGAAATTCCCATCTTCCAGGCCTCCTGGGACAGGCAAAGCCTCCTGTCTTCCAGCTCCTTCCTCTCTTCTCTCCTCCCCTTCTCCACTCCATCCCTGTTGGGGTCAAGGCTTTGCTGAGTCCAACAAGTCTAGAGGCTTCAGGAGCCAGTGGGCCAGAGGGGGAGCAAGAAGGGCTTCCAGGCTTGCTCTATCCCCAGGACTCTGCCTGGTTAGGCGTGGGAGAGCAGAGGGCACAGAATTGAGTGAGCAGGGCTGGAAAGAGCTAAGAAGCCAGGCCACAGGCTACTCTGGGAGGAGGAGGCTTCCTGCCTACCTTCCACCCACTGGGCAAGCCAGCTGGAGAGCAATCACCTGTGCCCTTTCCTGGCATGATGTAATAGCGTAAGAAAGGAGTCCTTGGCACTGGACCTGTTGTCAAGGCTCCAGAGTATCCTTTAGGATATTACCACAATCTTTGCCTTTTTCTGTCTGCCCTGGTTATATCTTTACCTGTGGGCTTGTATTTTCATCCTATGGGAACCTGGAGCTCCTGTGACTCTCCCATCTCATAGACCCTTGGAGCATCTTGTGCAAAGCAGGTGCTCAAATGTGTTTGTAGCTGGGTGGGTTGTTGGAAGATCTTTTCGTTCTTCCAGATCTTTGTGACATGGACAAAGTGGTTCTCAACTTGTGCACTGGAAGTTTCAACAAATACTGATGCACACCCCTAGAAGTTCTGATAGCACATGAACTTGTTATTAATGTAGGGTGCAGTCTGAGAATGGGAGATTTTGTTTTATTTATTTATTTATTTTATTTATGTATGTATTTTGAGACAGAGTTTCACTTTGTCACCCTTGGTAGAGTGCTGTGGTATCACACCTCACAGCAACTTCAAACTCTTGGGCTTAAGCAATTCTCTTTCTTCAGCTTCCCAAATAGCTGGGACTACAGGTGACTGCTGCAAAGCCCCACTATTTTTAGAGACCAGATCTCACTCTTGCTCAGGCTGGTCAAACCCATGAGCTCAGGCAATCCACCTGCCTTGGCCTCCCAGAGTGCTAGGGTTACAGGCATGAGTCACTGCGCCCAGACAAATGGGGGATTTTAAACACCCGCACAGTGATTCTGATATGCTGCCAGTGCTGAATACCGCTACATTAACATTATTTTAGAAATCTTGGAAGTTTCAGTTGAGGGCAGGCAGCAGAAGGTAGCAGCACAGAAGGAGCTTGGACTTTGGAGATGGGCACATAATCTCCAAAGAGATTGTGATATTTATATCATAGCTCAATTGCCTTTACATTGAGTGAGTCTGGGCAAGTCAACTTCCTCAGTTACCTCATCTGTTAAAGGGAGTAATAACATCCACCTTTAACTAAAGCACTTGAAATAAGGCTCTGGAATGGCCAAGCTAGAAGAAATGTAATTCTTGGCAGCTATTAAAATTAATTACACATTCATCCATCCAACATGTGATTATTGTGAATCTACAAGGGCCAAGTACTTGAGTGCCCTTAGAGGACAATTGAAAACCAGACAGCTGTAGTCACTTACCTTGTGGCATTTACATTCTAGTAATTCTGTTTCACAAACTTTTATTGGGTTTGGGATATCAGGGACTGTGTGGTTTCAAAGGTGGACAAGACGCTGTAGTTGCCCTTGAGAAAAACAAAAGTAGACACTAATTATATCCCAAATAGAGGGGGGTAAATGACAAGAGAGGCACTAACAAAGAGACGTTAAGAGGAGAGAGGCATTTAGAGAGCAGATCAGGGAAGTTTTCATGGAAGATATAATACTTTAGAGCAGTGGTTCTCAACCTTCCTAATGCCGTGACCCTTTAATACAGTTCCTCATGTTGTGGGGACCCGCAATCATAAAATTATTTTTGTTGCTACTTCATAACTGTAATTTTGCTACTGTTATAAACCACAATGTAAATATCTGATATGCAGGATGTATTTAGGCAACCTGTGAAAGGGTCATTTGACCCCCAAAGGGGTCATGACCCATAGGTTGAGAACCAATGCTTTAGAGGACCCTTGAAGGATAGATAAGATTTTGTTGAATGGGATAAGGGGAGTCATGATGGAATAGCTCAAAAGCATGGAGACAGGAACAGCCAATAATCTGGCCTGGCAAAAGAGCCACTGTGTGTGCATGAGAAGGAAGACAATGTGCATACATAGCAGGAAAATGCAAACTGGAGCCTTAAATGCTAGGATGAGGTGTTTAGACTTGATTTGGTCATCAGTGAGAACCACGCAGGGGCTGAGCCGCATAATTCTTAGCTCTTAAGACCTGGACCTCCTCTGGCTTCATTCTGGAGTAGGTGTCTTTGTTGCCATTATCCTTGGGGTTTCTTCTTCTCTGCCCACTGCCACCTTGGTCTCATGTTCAGGGTTCAATGCTCTATTGCTGCAGGGCTTCAGGTGACAAACTCACTCAACCTCAAGCATGAACTTCTTCTCCAGATAGTACTTTCCTGGGCAATTGCATCTTGGCAGGTGCAGTGGAAGGAGCGCCAAAATGAGAATCTGGATGAAGCCTGGTTCTAAACCTAGCTCTGTCTCTTACCAGCCATGTTACCCTGAGTAAGTCACTTCTCTCTCAATTTCCTCATCTAAAGAAAGACCAGGCTGGATGGGTTGATTGACAATGACCTTTCCAGCTGCAGTTCTCTTAACTAATTTGTTAAGTGACAAATCCAAGTATGTCTGTTTTCACTTATGCAAGGGGTGTTGCTGCTGAAAATCAGTCAGGTTGAGGCTCAGAGGGAAAGGGACAGAGAGGCTATATGTAGGTGTCCAGCAGTCTCAGCTAAGCCTAGTCTTGACTTCATCACAACCTAGCCACTGAACAAGTGAAGGAAAATCCTCCAAGTGACTTTAGCCCCCAGCCATTCAAGTCACCCCCAGCCACCCAAGTCTTCCTAGCTTAAGTCTCAAATGTTGTGGAGCAGAGATAAGCCATATGTATTGTGCTCTGTCTGAATTCCTGACCTTTAGAATGTGTGAGAATGATGAAATTGTTTTGTGCCACCAAGTCTGGTAGTGGTTTGTTAGTAGCAACAGATAACTGGAAATGGGGGAGGAGGTGTTAGGGATGGTTTGTCAGGGGGCTCCCTATGCTGGTGAAACCTCACCAGTGGGTGTCTTTCCTCTCTGCCCATTAATATCAGAAGCCACCTCTGATCTTGGGTACTACTCATTGTAGCCTTGTGCTCTTACGAGAGGAAGCTCAGAGACTGCACTGTCCTGGGATGTTGTAAAGTTTATAAACAAGGAAGCTCTGAGATCTTCCCTGAGGCTGCCCCAGATGCTGAGGCACTGCTCAGCTGGGTTTCTGGGTCCATCTGTATTTGTCCCAGTGCCAAAGGCCAAAGGTGTGGAGGTGGGGTGATGCTCACACTAGAAGTCTTCTAGATGATTCTTACACACTCCATCTCTTTTCAGCTCCACCATAGCTACATTAGGAGTTTCTGGAAGGAGACTTCCTCTCACCTTACTGATGAATAAAGAGGCATGGCCAAGAATACGGACATGGGATAGGACCCTTTTGAGGAGCTGTGTGAAGGAGGTAGGGATGGAAATTCTGGGAGGGGAGGTCCTCATTTCTTTCTGCTACCATAGCCTTGGGTCTTGAAACAAGACCACTGAACTTGGGTTAAGTTCCATTTCTGCTTCCTCCTTCCTATCACCTCCTCCCCTCTCATTCCTTTTTTCCTCTGGGATTTTTTGGCAGAAGGAAGAGAGGAGGAATCTACTCCCAAGTCCTTTATTAGGGAAGACTGGGTGGTGATATGAGGGTTTTACTCACTAACAAGAGCAAATAAGGCCAGGATGCTCTCAAGTGTGGGAGCAGGGTGGGGTTGGGGACGGCGGGGAACAGAGCGTCCCTCCTGATTCCAGGGCTCATCCTGCTGTGAGACGTGGGTGGTGAGGTTCCCAGAAGGATCTGTGCTGAGTCGTCTGGGAGAGAGGGAAGGACGGGCCTATTCCCTAGTGCGACTTCCTCTCACCGTGTATGTGAGGGGGGTGGGAGAGGGTGACACGGAAATCCCATTTTCTGAGCTATTGTGCCAGACTACGCCTACTTGTATCAAGCTCATTTAAATCACTTTCCAGATACCCCTCCGAGAGGTTAGCGGACTTGCCCAGGGCCGCACAGCATGTGAGCGGCAGAGCGGGTAAGGACGCCCAGAGAGTCTTGTCACCGGCTGTCTCACCCCATGTCCCGGAACCTCCGGGCCCTGCAGGTGCCGGGTCGGCGAGCGCTGTCCGGAGGGGGCCCCCAGTAGGGGGCGCCCCGAGCCCCGTCCCTGGAGGCCGCGCGCGCCTCCAGCCGGCGCCTGGGACGGGGCCGACCGCTCCGCCCCCTCTGCTCCTCGGCGGCTCGGCGGGCGGGGGGCGGGCGCGGAGGGGGGAGAGCCCAGCCGAGCGCCGCGCTCCCCGCTGCGACCCCGGTGCCCAGGGTGCCCGCCGCGGCCGCCGCAGCGCAGCCTCCCTCCGTGAGTAGCGCCCGTCTGCGGGCTCGACGGGCGGGACGGGGCGCGCAGCCCGAGTGCAGCAGCGCCGGGGGCTGGGGCTGGCGGGGCACAGAACTCCGGGGCGCTCTCTCGTGGATCCCGGGCCCGCCTCCTGAGTGCTTGACACTGCCCCCGGGTATGGCCTTGGGCACGGCGGCCGGCACCACAACGTGGGATCTGCAGGCAGCTACCTCAGGGCGCGCTCCGAAACCTGCCACTTTGACCCGGGAAGACGGGGTGGGAGAGGTGGGCAGAAACCAGGACCGCGGGAGGAGATGGGAGACAGACTTCCATCAAGGTAGCCCCCTTTGCAGGGAGGAGAGCAAGTCCGATCCTGCCCAGGTCTTTCAGCTTAGCCCGCTTCTCCCATCTCCGGATTCCCACTGGCAGTAGGAGGTGATGCCAGGAGAGCGCTCAGATGAGGTGACCCTTCTTTGTAGCCGAATGAAGCTGTGGTACCCGCTGTTAGGAGCCCGGTCCCGGGGCAGAGCTAGCATGGGCGCGGTGGCAGCCAGCAGGTTTGCAACAGGTTGCGTGGAAGCGCTTGGAAGGACGTGGAACTCCGGACCACACATGGCAGATGTCTCATGCTATGTGCATGGATCTGGTTAACCCTCTCACTAAAGCTCTGCAGGGTTAGCCTTCTCACTTTACAAAGGAGAAAAGTATTCTTTACAAAGGCCCAGAGACCAGGTAGTGGCAAGTTAGGGGTGAACTGCGGGGGAGAGGACAGGGTATCAGGCTGCCCCAGTGGCAGATTAGAAGGTCCCAGGTGGCACGTGGAGGGACAGCTCCTGACACCTTGTACTCTAGAGTCCAGCAGCTGCGGGATGCTGCTCTGGTTTCTGACACTGTGTTTCCCAACTGCCTCTGTGTAAGGGATTCCTGGGACAGTCCTGTTGACTAAGGGGTCCTGGCACCTTGGCCTCTTCACAGTTACCTTCAGAGCCTTGTTTTCCCCCAAACTATCCATCTCCCAAGATGTGTTTTTAGCACCTACAATGGCACCACTGGTAATTCACCAGCTTCCCAGGAGGGCTGGGTAGGGACGTGGGGATGTGTGGATGTGAGTGGACATCTGTTGTTCTGGGGCAAGTTTGTGATTGAAAGGAATGAGACCTGAACAGACCCTGACTGTGTTGGGGTCAACAAGCAGGCTGGCCAATGGAACAGGTTACCAAAGAGATGGAGTTTTTCTCATGTTAACTCAGACAGGTGGCTGACTTCTGAGCCCCAGCTTCCTCCTCAGGGTTTGTGGTGGGTCAAAGCCCTGACTGTACAGAGGGACTCTAATGCCAGAGCCCACTCCCTTCTGTTGGCAGCTTCCCCAACACTTGGGCATGATGGTTCCTAATGGAAGTGTGTGTGATAGGACAGTGATGTGTGTTTGGCCCAGTCACTGCCTGCCCCTTGCCATGGTCCTGTTTTCCCTACTTGCACTGAGCAAGGTGGCCTGAGGACTTGGGAGAGTTCACTTTGCAGAGTGAACTGGGGGACATCGGGGAGAGGGCCTAGTAAGTGCTGGGAGTCCCTATAGGAGCAATTCCAGCCTTGGACACCTCCTCCTAGTTTGTCCCTCAGGAGGCCACTGACTTCCCCAACCCTGGTGCCACCTTTGAAGGGGTTGTGATGTTTGTCCAAAAACCCTGAGAAGAAGTAGCTGGATGGGGTAGCTGTGTGACACTTAGCACATCCCTTCCCCTGTCTGCACCTTGGTTTCCTCCTTTTGTAAAACAAGTGGGTTAGACCAGTAAACGGTGGCTTTCACACTTCTTTTTCAGTGAATTCTTACCCAGAACCCTAAAATATAGTATAGATAATGTAGAACTACTCTGGCATCCATTTTTCACTCTGGTGAACTTCACCCCTTCAAAGGTGGCACCAGGGTTGGGGAAGTCAGTGGCCTCCTGAGGGACAACCTTGGAGGAGGTGTCCAAGGCTGGAATTTCCCGCATAGGGAACTTGCAGCACTTACTAGGCCCTCTCCCCGATGTTCTCCAGTTCACTCTGCAAAAGAGTCTAAAAATCCACAAACAAGTGATCTGTGAGGTCTCTTTCTGTGGGGTTCTAGGAAATCCATGTTCACCTCCTAGTTGCCTCGTATGCAGGAACGAGGAACATTGCAGGAATATAAATTCCAAGGACTCCATTAGGAGAACTATGGGGGAATGTCTGGAGCTGATGGCCTGTGCCTCTGTCTAAGAGTTGTCACTGTGTCCATCCTGTTGCCATGTGGTTGCAGCTTTTCAGGGCGCCTGTGTCTCTGGTTCCTTCTCTGGGCCCCAGTTCGTGACTACAATTCAGTTTCTTCTCTTCAGTTTCATGTTTCTAACTTGGTAAAATGCAAATTCATTTGGAAGAGGTGTTAGGAAAGGGCTTCAAGCCCTTATCAGTTTTAGCCGATGAGGCATCTGAAGAAAGAGGGCTGGGACACTAAATCTATCAAATAAAATTTATGGTGTGCCTACTGTATACTAGCTACTACAAGGGGGCAAAACTGACATAGGAGCCTCATGGGGCTCCAAGACAATAGGCAGGAAAGAAGGAACTCAGATTTGTTGGGACTATTCAGGGACCATTAACCTTTCACCTATTACTTCATTTGTCCCATAAGATAAATATTAGTCTCATTTTAAAAAATTGTGTAAAATTTTGATTGCTTACAAAATAAATATGCATCCTGTATATCCATATAACTCCTACCCAGATCAAAAAGTAGGCCTGGACACAGTAGTGGGCACCTGTAATCCCAGACTTTGGGAGGCTGAGGTGGGAGAATTGCTTGAGGCCAGGAGTTGGAGACCAGCTTGGGCAATATAGCAAGACCTTGTCTCTATAAGAAAAAAAAAATAGAAAAATTAGCCAGGTGTGGTTCTTCACACCTGGAGTCTCAGCTACTTGAGAGGCTGAGGCAGGAGGATTGCTTGAGCCTAGGAGTTCTAGGTTGCAGTGAACAATGATGATGCCACTGCTTTCTAGCCCTGGCAACAGAGAGAGACCTTGTCTTGGCAAAAACATGGGCAGCACCCAGAAGCCTTTGTGTCACTCCCACCCAGAGGTAACTACTATTCTGACTTCTAGCACCGTAGCTTAGCTCTGCCTAAGTAGAATCACACAGTCTAGTTTCTGTGTCTGGCAACTTTCACTCAACATTATGTGTGTGAGATTCATCCAGGTTGTTGCAGGTACTAGTACTTTGTTAATTCTTGGTGTTGTATAATGATTCTATTGGATGTACAGTACCTCCATTTATTTGTCCTTCTATTGATGACCATTTGGTTGTTTCCATCTTTTAGTTATTACAAAAGTAGTGCTGTGGTGAACATTCTAACATAGGCCATTTTGGAAAGCATTTGTATACATTTCTCTTACACAAGTCCATAGAAACTGCCCAACAGTTTTCCAAAGTGGTTGCCCCACCATATCCTCCTCCTGTTGGTGAGTTCTAGTTGCCCTACATACTCACCAACACATGAAGTAATGTGAAGCTCAGGAAAAATTATCTTGTGCTCAGCTAAGGACAGTGTGCTAGGAAGTGATAGGGCTGGGATTTGAACCCAGGCTTGTGTGACTGTGAAATCTAGATTCTTTCTCTCAGGGCTAGACCTAGACATAGATTATTTTATGAGCCAGAATGGGATAAACTCTAACCTTAAATATGTATGAAGAACACTCTTGGGGAATTTAAAGAGGGAGAAATTTTTCATCTGTTTTTTGGAGGGAAAGTAGCCTCATAGAGATGGTAGCATTGAGCCAGGTCATGTGGGAAGGGGGCAGCTTTGCCAGAGGGCTGTGTCGGTGGACCTTCCATGGAAAAGGCACAGCAGGGGTGAATGCTTCGGGGAAATGGGACCGCCTACTAGGATATGTAGGGGAGAGAGCTAAGACTGGAAAGGTGAGTTAGAACCAAACTGGTGGGCCTAGTTTGTCCTTAGGGGACTCCACTGCCCCTACCTCTGGCTACACAGGGTATGTATCCCAAGGCAGAGGCTCCACATTTTGCTGAGGGACTGGGGCTTCTTTGAGTCCAGCTCAACTCCTGATAGCACAAAGAATTGGCTTTGTGCCAAATGGGAGATCTTAGCTGTTCCAGGGACCACTCTCAGGGTTTCTGGCAATAGAATTTTTTTGGCATTTCCTGCTTGAATCTAGCTGTGTGAAATTAGTAACATCCACCCCCTTCCCATCTGACCTGAATAGTTTATTTGGAAGGAATTTTTTTTTTTTTCAGGAGAAAGAGGATGGTAGATAGTATTCCTACCACCCCTTATGCTAGTCTCACATTTACTTGGATAGTTGGGGTGAGGGTGGATCCAGCTTCCAATTTTGATCAAGCCAAGCTTGCCAGGGAGACCCCAAAATATTTTTCTCGCAAAGGATCCAAATGAGTTGTCTCAATGACTGGGGAAGCAGAAACATGAAGAGTGGCCTGGCATGAATCAAACAACAACAGTAATAACCATTTGTGCAGCACTTTATACTCTTGTCACAGTGGAAACTCACAGGGATGTGTGAAGGAGGTGATGTAGATAGTGTCACCCCTGGGGTTACAGATGAGGGGACTGATGCCCTCTCTGGTTGGGTCACACCCAAGTCAGTTTGGAACTGGGGCTCCTGGAGCCTGCTCTTTTCAGTACTGCATGCTTGCCTGGGTCCTGGCCAAGCACAGGGTGAAGACCAAGCTGGGAGGATGCATGGTGGACCAGAGGTGCCAGCCAGCAGGCGACCTTGAGAGTAAGACCTGTGAGCCAGGCCAGCTCTGCCTAGGGATCTTCAGGGATGTGTGTGCCTTGATGGAAGGGAGACAGGCAAGTGGCATGTTGGTAATGTCACTCTAGTTTGCAAGGGGCAGAGGTAGAGGAAGAGGATAGATTGTATATATCCCCTGAGAGTTGTTAGTACAGCTCCAACCACTTGGCATTGATGAGACACACCCTTATGTAATTGTGCCTCCACCTAGCCTGGTGAAAACAGCCTTTTGGGGCTGGTGAAGCCTGGGTGTGGTTGGGATATGATTGGCAGGCGGAAGAAAAGCTGCCAGCGCTAGCCGTGATGAGCTATGAGAGGCCTTCGCTAACGACTCTTGAAAGACACAGATTTGCAGACTGTGCTCTGGGCCTTGCTTCTGGGGTGCTGACCAGGGCGGCATGTGACTGTCTATCCCAGGAATGGGTGAGCTCCTTGGGGCAGGGGATCCTAGGGGAGGATGCAAACACTCTCTTCTTGTGAGGTGGTGAGCACTCTCCAGGGCTCAGAATTGTCCTTTGGCTCTCCCTGAGGTGCCCTGGGCAGGCAGATTTAGCTCCATTTTACAGATGAGGACACTTGGGCCTTTCTGACAGGCGATGAGATCACGGAGCTGCTCACAGGCAGAGCTGAAACTAGCACCTTAAGGTTTCTGGTGCCTTTTGTAGTTTGTCACACCACTCCCATCTGTCCTTGTTTGGGGTGATGAGTGAGAGATTACAGATCAGTTCAGACTCGAAATTAGGTGGCATACCCCTGAGGGAACTGAGGTCATGATAATCCTTTACCTTTCTGTAGCATTTTATAAAAATAATTTCATGACTTGAAGTTGATTTTTATAGTATTAGCTCTATTTTACAGACGAGGAAGCTAATTCAGTGTCTGGCAGCTTAAGTGACTTACCCAAGTAAAACTGGGGCTTGAACCTGAGAACCTGAGACTTCTGACTTTAAGAGTCATTCTTCTTCTTTTTCTTCTTTTTTTTTCTGCATCAGATGCCTTTTTTCTCAGTAGGTTTGAATTTAGTGAGAGCAAATAGCTGATTCTCACCATGGATGTTTCTCTGAACTTCTTCAGACAGATTTGAAGAAGTGAGGAGGTCTCTTTTTCTGTTTCTTTAACAAATTTAAACTTATATAAATCATGGTCATCTGCAGGTGTGAAAAGACTTGAGTAGGGCAGTTCTTGAGGAATCAGGGCTATGGATAATTGTTAAAATATTAGCTCCCTCGCGGCCAATTATTTTTAGGTTTCAGATCCTTAGGCTTGTGCTAATTTGCGTGGCTGTCCTAACCTCAGGTTTCTTCCCATTTCAGTGTTGTGTGGTCCAGGGCTCAATGAGGAGCTCGAACATGGAGCCGTTCAAGCAGCTGAAGGTGGAGGACTTTTATGACATAGGAGAAGAGCTGGGGAGGTAAGAGACCGTGTGAGAGGTGGGGGATGCCAGAGGGAGCCAGAGTCACTCTCCGTGTACCTGTCAGCTGGTGTTGGAAGATAGGGGCTGGCCACGGGACTGGTGGGAGACTTTAAAAACGAGCCTGAAGTTATACACCTTCATGGGTGACTCTGTACATAGTCCTCTCTCTGGAAATAAAGACGTGCCAGTAGCAGGGCCTAGAATGATTGAGTTCTCTGTTTTCAGTATAATTTAGCTGACAGGGCAAATCTTAATGTTACTTTTTTCACAAAGTCCCCATAGGCCTTGGACAGCAACCTGACCTGTCGGTTTTCTTCTCTGAATCCCACATGGGATTCTCCATGGTTCCCAGGATTTTGTTTTTTAAGCTCTGAGCATGAATGGGAGGTGAAGTAATCATCCTGAAAATGGATTTGTGTTGAGTAACCAGCCACGTGAGTCTAGTCATGAAGTTTCCTGGGATCTGAGTTACTTGGTGTGTTTTCAGGTTTGCTGAACTCAGAAAGCAGGCCTGGCTGAACTCTGAGATCTGAAAGTATTATAGTTATTATTTGAAGAGAAATTTGGATTTTTCTGAAGTTCTCTTCTTGCCTTCCATTGCTAACAACTGCTAATATTTAGACGGTGTTTTAGTGACTACAGAATATCAGTCCTGAAGTTTGATTCTCAACAATAGTGCATGAAATGAGAATTAGTCTTATTCTTGTTTCTTAGTTGGGGAAACTCTGGTGCATATTCTTTTTTTTTTT